CAGCCCTGTGGCCTCCACCTCCCAGACCCCCCTAGCCGGCTATGCTGGCGGGGGGGATTCTGGGAGTTGAAGTCCACAGGACTGAAAGTCGCCAAGGTTGAGAAACACTGTTCTAGTCCAACCCACTGCCTAGGTAAGAAATTAAATGAAGCGGTGCATCATTTTTCATCCCACCCCCCAAAAAAGATTCATGAGTGGATTCCTTGTATAACTACGTACAGGTAGTCCTCAGCTTGGAAACAGGCTTTCCGTTGCTAAGCAAGGTAGTTGCTAAATGAGTCACGAGGCCTGATTTGATCACCTTGTTAAGCAAATCCCTGCAAGTTGCTAGGGGAATCAATGCAGTTGTTGAGAGAATTCATGCAGTCCTTAAGTGAATCACGAAGTTGTTAAGTGAATCATGAAGTTGTTAAGTGAATCATGAGGTTGTTAAATGTATCATTCAGTCGTTAAGTGAGTCATGCCATCGTTAAGGGAATTATGCAGTCAATAAGTGAGTCATGCAGTTGTTAAGTGAGGCATGCAGTCATTAAGTGAATCATGCAGTTGTTAAATGCATCGTGCAGTCGTTAAGTGAATCCAGCTTCCCCCCCATTGACTTTTCTCATCAGAAGGTCGAAAAAGGGGATCCCATGACCCCGGGACACTGCAATCGTCATAAGTGTGAGTCAGTTGCCAAGTGTCTGAAGTTTGATCACGTGACCACGGGAATGCTGCCACGGTCGTAAATGTGAAAAGGCCACTTTTTTTTTAGTGCCTTTGTACCTTTGTTCATTGCACGAAAGGCTGCACATCAAGGACTGCCTGTATTTGAAATGAAATCAAATAAAATAACTTTTCAATCTCTCCCGGGCTTCATTCTTAGAGAAAGATCAGATTTTATCCACCGGATTGGCCACCAGGGGGCGCTGTTATTAAGTCCTCAAAAGAAGTTGCCGCCACTAGGGGGCTCTGCAGTCTAAGCTTTGCATAAACCAGGAAAGAAAATCTACATGACATCACAGAGCAATAGATTCCAACCTTTGCAGAGTAAAATTGCCAAAATACAGACATTTGGAGTTTCAGGGTGCGTTTTTTTTCTTAGCTTCCCCCCCCCCCCCGCGATTCAGTGGTCTCGATTGACAACTGGGGGCGATAGTACCTTAGGACAGTATTTCTCAACCTTGGCCACTTGAAGATGTCTGGACTTCAACTCCCAGAATTCCCCAGCCAGCATTCGCTGGCTGGGGAATTCTGGGAGNTCTCTCTCTCTCCCTCTCTCAGTCTCTCCCTCTCTCTCCCTCCCTCCCTGTCTCTGTCTCTCTCTTCCCCCCTCTCTCCCTCTCTCCCTCTCCCTCTCTCTCTGTGTCCCTCTCTGTCTCTCTCTCTCTGCCTCTCTCTGCATCTCTCTGTCTCTCCCTCCCTCTCTCTGTCTCCATCTCTCCCTCCCTCCCTTCCTCCCTCCCTCCCTCTGTCTCTCTCTCTCTCTCCCTCTCTCGGTTTCTCCCTCTCTCTCCCTCCCTCCCTGTCTCTGTCTCTCTCTTCCCCCCTCTCTCCCTCTCTCCCCCTCCCTCTCTCTCTGTGTCCCTCTCTGTCTCTCTCTCTCTGCCTCTCTCTGTATCTCTCTGTCTCCATCTCTCCCTCCCTCTCTCTGTCTCCATCTCTCCCTCCCTCTCTCCCTCCCTCCCTCTGTCTCTCTCTCTCTCCCTCTCTCGGTCTCTCCCTCTCTCTTCCCCCTCTCTCCCCCCCTCTCTCTGTGTCCCTCTCTGTCTCTCTCTCTCTGCCACTCTGTATCTCCAGCTCTCTCTCCCCCCCCTCTCTCTGCCTTTCTCTGTATCTCTCTCCCTCCCTCCCTTGGTTTCTTCATTAGGGAATCTTAACATTTTGCAGAATCAGAATCATACCTGCTTTTGATAGACAGGATCCACTTCCCTGGCTACAATTCCCACCCTCCCCTTTGCCATTTCCCCTTCCTTTTCAAATCCACCAACACGCAGGTGGTGCAATTAAAAGAAAAATCCCTAAGTCTACGGCGGTCTCTGCACTTACCTGGAACTCTTTCCAAACCTCACCTCTGCCAGCCTCTCTGGTGCTGCGTTCAGCAGGACGCCTCTTACGACAAACACCGAAAGGAGGAAGGTAGTGCTCTCAAAAACCTTCTCAGAAACAACACCCAAAATTCCCCCGCCTTGATTGCGTCAGGTTGCGAAAGAAATTTGGCTAAAGTTTTGTGTGGAGTTTAGCCTCGGTTCAAAGGCCATCCAGAGGTTGACAGTTTTCCCTCAAATGCCTCCCGAAAGAAAAAGGAAATTTGCCTGACTTTTGAAGGGAGAAACATTTTCCTTATGTCTATTTTCCTAAGAATCTTATGATTCTTGATGAATGTATTCTATTTTATTTTAGGTGCACTGAGAGCCTATGCACCAAAGACAAATTCCTTATGCGTCCAATCANGTCTTAAAGTTGCCAAGGTTGGAGACCACAGTATACCGAACAAGCATCATCACCAGTAAATTAGAACTGACCACTTTTTAGTGGGCTCTCCCAAAGGTGCTTTTCCAGAAGGCAACTGGACTTCCTTGGGGTTTTTTTTTTCTTTTCCATTAAAACGTTTCGCTTCTCATCCAAGAAGCTTCTTCAGTTCAGTGTGGCATTTTTTATATGGAAAAAAAATATTTTGGGGTAGTTGATACTTTCTCAGCTTTGCCAATGCAACCTTCTAAAACCTAAAGGCATTACTGTGAATAAGTACAGTGCTGGAAGTTGGGGCTTTTGCAACGTGCCGCTTGTTTGTTTTTTTCTTTTTAAAAATATCTGAAATAAAAATCAGGTGGGGACAGAAATTGGTGGGCAGCAGGAAAAGTGATCTAGGGAATGATGGTTGCCTGCCCACGCAGTCTTTCATTTAAGAAACTTGTCTTTTTGTAAGTCTTGTTTCTTTTTCAAAAAGTGTAACATGAATGTTTGTGGCACTGCCACAAGTTAATATAAAGGCATGGTGGTATTGCCAATTTATTTCAGCTCTTTCAGTATAAAAATCCAGCGAGAATTTGCCCTTTGAATATATTACAAGTAGTACAATCGTTTGCAATAGAAAAATTGACTTATGACTTATTACGAACATTGCGGCATCCCCATGATCCACGTAATCAAAATTCAGACACTTGGCAACTATCTCATATTTATGACAGTTGCAATGTTCCGGGATCTTGTGATCATCTTTTATGATCACATGACAAGCAAAGACATTGGGGAAACCAGGTTCACTTAATCATTACTTAAGCTAGTAACCATGTTATTCACTTAACAACTCTAGTGGTTCACTTAACAATTGTGCCAAGAAAGGTCATAAAATGGGGCAAAACTCACTTAACAACTGTCTTGCTTAGCAACAGAAATTTTGAGCCCAATTGTGGTCATAAATCAAAGATTACCTGCATAGCTGTGTTACCGTAGTATTATGACTCAATTCACAATATCCCATTGTCCCTAGAAGCCAATGTCTTTTATCACTTAATGCCTTGGTTCATACATTAGTGTCTCATTGTGATTTAGCTTGGAGCTTATGAGATTTACTTCCAGTAAATTTAATTAGAATTGCACCCTTACATTCCTATTAAGTAGTTTGAAAATAGATTGTTCTTTTATCAGAGTTGTGTGTTAACTAATTCTTCAAGCTGTTTTGGATAGCTGCGATGAATGTATCCTTGATATATGATAATTGCTTGCATGAATACCTGATTTGCCCAAAACATCTTTTGGTAATCTGAGGCCCAATTATAGATTTTATTACACAAGTTTACATTTTACATAATCCTAGTAATGAGCTATGAAGCATATTTGTGCATGAGGTAGATATATGCAACATAGATATAGCATTTATATTATAAAGTAATTGTCTATTAAGAGTGAACAATATGATCTTAATCAAAATGTGATACTGCTTTTGGAAGTAAAACTATTTTTGGTGTATAATTGATCTATTAGCTTTACATAAAGTCACACTGCTATATAAGCTGCTGTTAAGAATATCTGTTCTTAAACCAGAGCAATGAAGTAGCGTTATATAGAGTTATTGTTTCCTTTTTGAATGTCTGCTTATTTTTTTTACTGTATTTCCCTGGCAAAAATGTGATGGCCGAGTTTAGTTAAAGATCATTTATAATGCAGATAAAATAGACATCAGTAGTATTTATTCTATTAAGCTAACCTTTTCAATATTTCAAAACATCAAAGATGCTCCAGAAGAATTTCCTCTTTTACTAAGAAAAAATGCAGCACAGAAGCAAAAAAACACATTGTTCAATAAATAAAAAAGGTGTAGAGAAACAAAAGGCAAAACAGTCTTTATAATTGTAAACTGTTTGAAATACCATCTGGGGAATGGCAAAAGAAAGGCATGAAAAAAAGGATTTATTTCATTTTTATTTTACCCTTCTTTGCAAAGGAACACAATTGCTTCTCTGAAAGAATGAATGAGTTACAAATGATAGTAACTGCTTTCAAACGTAGCATTACAAATAATTATGTTCATAATATGTGAATTGACCCTTTGTGCTTATAAATCCATGGTTCTAGTTTAGTGTGAACCAGCCATTGTAGCATATTCTCAAATTAGAACAACCCCCTCCCCTCCTTAATATTACGGGTCCATGTCACTGGTTGAGTAATTTTATAGTGAAGCCTCTGAGTACCTGAATATACCATATACTGTGCATGGTTTTCAGTTCATTGGTTGGAAATAAACTACTATTCTATTCAAGGCGCTAAAATTCTATTTCAAACTTGTGTTTTGGTTCTGCAGAAATACAATTCTATGGCGACTTACCTAGAATTTATCCAGCAAAATGAAGAGCGTGATGGAGTTCGCTTCAGTTGGAATGTTTGGCCTTCCAGCAGATTGGAGGCCACCAGAATGGTTGTTCCATTGGCTTGTCTTCTAACACCTTTGAAAGAACGGTTAGATTTACCACCTGTCCAATATGAGCCTGTTCTATGCAGTAGACCAACCTGCAAAACTGTTCTCAATCCACTCTGGTATGTATTTGTTTATTACATTTAGTTTTGTCTGTGGTTGTTTTGATTGCTGTGGAGTGGTAAAATTATTTACATCACAGTTCCCCAACCTTTCTGGCTTTGCAGATTGGTGGGGAGTGGTGGTGGAGAAAGGATGGTTCTGTGCAAATAGTGGATAGATGTGCGTGAGTGCGCAGCTCCATTTGCTTGAGTGGTGGGCACGTGCACTTGCTCACACATAAATTGAGTGCGCACACATGTGCTCGCCCCCTTCCCAAGCAATTTTGTTAAATAAATGAACTAGTATAATGTTTTGACTTGTTCATATAATTGGATTCTCTTCATCTAGTTTTAAGATGTGTAGAAAACAGATCACATTTTAGGCAGTGTTTATACTGAAACATTGAAAATATTTTTAAGCACAATTGTAGATTCAGTCCTGAATTTTGCAAAACGCTTCTTCAAGTTTTAATTTGAAGATTATCCAAGTACTCCAAATAATTGAGGAGATAATATTGAGTATTTTAAAAGAAAAAAGTTACATGGTAAGGTGATAAATGGATTTCTTTTCAAGTACAACTAGGAACTTGTTGAAATTCAAATGTTGCTGAACTTAGAGTTCACAGCAATTTTAATCAGCATTACTGATTGTGAAGGCTATTAGTAGAGGTAATGTAGCAACATTTGAAGGACCATATGTTTCCATCCCTGCCTTAAATAATTAAATCAGAATTTAAGTTTACAGTTAAATGAATCATAGCTTTGTCCTAGATACCACTTCTGATGCCATTCTAAACTAGTTTGCTATGATGGGAATGAATCTAGTCTCTTTTAGCTTATGCATTTAATAATGTTTATGATTAGGCTTCAAATACCAAGTGAGAAAATGGTTCCTTATTTCCCGAATTATGGCTCTATGATTCAACTGCAGACAAAAAAAGAGAAATGGCAATAAATGCAAATGCAAAGCAGAAATGTTCTATCTTACCTGAGATTTCCAGATTCTTTATATTCCATTGAAGATGCTTAGAATTATTTTAAAAAATACAGTGCCACCATGGAAGAGAATTAACCCTTATCTAGTAGTCAGTGTTCCAACTCTAATTGGTCAGTCTAGTTTATCTAATCTAGTTTATCTGTTTTGTTAAAAAAAAAAACAAAGAAGGATTAGCCAGCAAAAAGAAAAATGAATAGGGCAGCCCACAGACAAACTGCTGTGAAATGTTGTTTGCATGATCGTTTTCAATGCAAAATGGATATGTTCATGTTAAACATTGCTTAGCCATTGGGAAGTCTCATTCTCTCATAAGTTTATACATTGTTCTGGTTTTACACTTTCTTTAAACATCATTTATTAAATAAATCACATTCACTGCACTCAGATATTTTAAGCCACAGACTTAAAATATGAAACATATTAAAACAGATTCATGTTGTGTGTTAAGCGAAACAATTACAGTTAAACATAAAGGGTCAATTAAACAGAGCAAAACTAAGCAAATATAAAGATGTTCTTTTGTATCAACTTGATGATTTTTTATTCTTAGTTGAATGGATTGATATTGTGTGTGTGTGTGTGCGGGCGTGCATGCATGCAATTGTTTTATTGCAATACCTATCATGGCCATTAGCATTATCAATGTTACAAGAGATTTATCCCATTTTTCTAAATTATTATATATATAATAATTATATATTAATACATCTATTTTTTATAAAACAGATGCAATTAATGATTTTTTTCTTATAAATATCCTTCAGATGTATTTGTTGTGTGAGACACCTTGAAAGCTTTTATATATGGTCATATTTTTGCTTATACTTCATGGAGAAAGAAAAAGTTAAATAAGAAAATGTAGGGGAGAAAAGCTAAGGAACATTGGAGTACATATGAGTACTGCAGGAGGATCGCCACCGGGATGGTTTGTGGGTGTTGTACAGGTTGCTGGCAATACCGCTATCATCCAAAGCCCTTAAGGTTGATTTGGGCAGTCACATTGTTTTGCCACCACATGGTCATTCTCTGAATCCTCCACCCCTCCATCGGACGCTACTGCGCAGCCTCTGTCTCCCATAGTGGCGAAAGCAAAACCAGGAGGCTTGGAGACCACGTGTGCTTGGGTGCTGTTTTCCAGCAAGAACACTTTCCCACGGCTAATCAATCTGAGCCTGCAGGAATGCCTACCACCGCATCGGAGCAGCCTGGGCCTTCAGGACAGGATAGTTCTGGCCCACCTGGGGCCAACATCAGGGGCAAGGCCAAGGGGAGGAGCAGGATGGCAGGCAAGGGCAAGGTCTCAGGGGAAGCAGCCCCAAAGGCCCAGCGCCAGGGCAGATCTTCTGGGCTTCAGGAGGAGGGGGATCCCTCCCCCATTAATCGCCCAGACCCCCTGCAGGTGTTGGAGGAGAAGAGTGAGGACCTAAATTTGTCCCCTGACAACTCAGTGGTGGACCCCAGCTCTCAAGGCCATTATTTTCGGTCTGAGCCAGGCTCTCCTCCTGAGTCTCCTCCCAGGCTTTCAGGCCCAGAGCCTTCTCCCCCACCCCCTCCTCGGATTAGACATCACTCCAGGGAAGATAGGGGCATAATGCTTTCTTCTGAAGTGCAGGAGGTGATTGCACGTGCCCTTTCACAGGGCATAGCTGAAGGCCTTCAGTGCAAGGATAGTCAATCAGAAGGCGGGCGCAGGAAGGACCCTGGGGCCTCCACGTGCAGGGTGAGGCACCCATCCCTGGAATCTTCTGCCACCATCGAGGTTTCTCTAGGGGATGAGCAGGATCAGGATGACCAGGAACTTTCTGAGGATGAAGATCTTCCCCCAGACACCCCTGCATTCTCGGTGTTATTCAAGCCCACTACCTTCAAGTCCATTTTGCACAAGACAAAGGCCATCATGCAACTTGGCGCATACCCTCAGATGTGACAGGGAACCCCAGAGCAGCCGCTGCTAATCCCAGGGACAGCATGTTCAAAAAGCAAGCTCTTGTCCCTGTGCATCAACTGTTTATGCATGTGGTGCAACACCAATGGTCCCAGCCAGGCTCCCTGGCCGCTCCTAGTGGAGGGTATAAAAGACTCTATTCAGTGGAGGCGAATTTGGAAGATGTCCTCAAATTACTCCCTGTAGAATCTCCAGTGGCCTCCTTGACATCTAATTTGGTTCTTCCAGCTGATCTTACGGAGGGTCTCAAGGTGGAGGATAGGAAGGCAGAGAAGGCTTGCCACAAAACACACCAAGCCGCAGCCTGGGCCCTTAAGGCCTCTACTTCTGCCTCCTCCTTTAATAGGGCTTCCATCCTTTGGTTGAAGGACCTGCAGTCTAAATTGCCAGCAGTGGACACACTTCTCCGTCAGGACGTAAATAAGATTATTTCAGCATCTCAGTATTTGGCTGACGCCTCGTTAAATGCGGCAAAATTTGCTTCCAGGGCGCTGGCGTCTAACGTAACATCTAGACGCCTCCTTTAGCTTCGCCATTGGCAAGTAGACATGAAATCAAAGTGGAAATTGGCTGCTGCTCCCTTTAAGGGTGACAAACTGTTTGGGGAAACCTTGGATTCAGTGCTGGTTGAATCCAAGGACAAGAGGAAGGTTCTCCCCACCAGTTCTAAGAAACAGGAGAGGAAGAACCAACCTTATTTTAGGAGGCAGTCCTTTCCGGCATCTGATTCCTCCTTCAACGCCCCAACTTTCCACAGGCCATATTCCCAATCTTCTGACATGTCTCAGGACAGGCAGTCCTTTCGAGATAGGGGAAGACAACAGTATCCCTACTGCAGGCCTAACCTAGGAGGAGCCTCCCAGAGGCCTTTCTGTAAGACCAAGTGACCAGTGCAGTCTGTCTCCCATTGGGGGGCGACTTCAGCAGTTCGCCGACCAATGGGAACTCACCACGTCGGACTCTTGGGTCCTGCAGATGGTGAGGCAGGGCCTTGCCCTCAAGTTCATTTCCCTCCCCCCAAGGAACTTCATTCACTGCCCTACTCCCTCCTGCCCAATCAAGAGGGAGCTCATGCACAAGGAGATTCAGCATCTCTTTGTGCACGATTCAGGCTTCATTTGGCAGATGGGTGCTGCAGCAAGTTCATTCTGTGGCCAAACCCTTGGCCTCATCTACCTACACTGGGGACAGTTAACTTGGGTATGTCCCATGCTTGGACTCTCCAAGCAGTGCACAGGAGAATGACCATTGGCTTACCTAAAGGGTCTTTCTCTGTGTGCTGCGGGAGAGTCCAACCCTGCCCAAATTTCATGCGGGCCCAGAGTTCGGGAACACCACACAATCTCCACGCCATCTCATCGCATCTTCCAGTTCCAAGAATCATTAAAAAACTGGCCTTAAAGAGGAACAGGAGATGTGGCCAAAGAATTTGAACTCCGTCCTTGGGCAACCAGACTAATTTAACCCATGCTTGGACTCTCCCGCAGCGCATAGAGAAAGACCCTTCCGGTAAGCCAGTGGTCAATTTGATTGTTTTGATGCAACACTTGTAATAATAATTTGCTGTTAATTTGTAAGGGTCCTATTTGTGTTATACATTTACCTTAATCCTTACCTCAATGTCAAGTGCTTGAGAATGAAACAGAATGCAGTAATTTTTATTAAATGTTTAAAAATTAATACCTCAAAATTTGATTTCAGCTTTTTTTATATATTCCTTTTTTTATAGTCAAGTTGATTACAGAGCCAAGCTTTGGGCTTGTAACTTCTGCTTTCAGAGGAACCAGGTAAGCATAAAACTGTTATGTTCCAACATTACTGTAACACATTTAAAAAAAAAACTTATTAGTACTAAAGTGATGCCACTGGCTTTCTACTGTACCTCCATGGTACCTCAGCTGTATTCCATTATTGTTTGTCATATCACTCTTATTTTTATTTGTTCCATTTAATTAATATTATTGCCAAAGTCTTGTAAGCAAAAGGTTCACTTGGATTTTGGGTTACTTTATGGCCCAGATTAATTGCAATTAGTTCATGTTAAATATGGCTCGTGCTAATCATAATGTAGAAATAATGCTAGAGATTGTGTAGAATAGGCAACCTGAAATCCTGTTTTATTAATCTCTAGATGAAACACAATAGCTGTAATTATGGTTCCTCAGTTACCACATCATACCAAGCCAGAGAGAGCACTTGCTTAGGTTCATGCTTATTTTTTTTATTTTCACATTGTTTATTATAAACAATGCCATTATAGTTTGTAAAAGACAGCTTGATGTGATGTATGACTTTAATAAGCTGTACTTGTTAAATAAATCACAACTTGAGATCTGAAAATGGGTAATTTCTGATTTTGATTGCCATTGATTTGCACATCATTCTTATCCAAACATCACAACAAATCTTAAATGATTTTTCCTTACCCATGGCTTTGTATTGAATGAAAAAATAATACCACTGGTCTACAAAGAGAAACCCTCAGAAAGTAAAGTAGCTGAATTTTACCAGAATTGGGTCACTAATTCTGTAATCTAATTTTCCACATGTTTTTCATACTCATCTGTCTTGCTGTTCTCAAAGTGAAGATACATTTATACACTTCCATGTGATACTATTTTCATTTTCTACCATACTTGTCGAGAAGTTATGAGGCATCATGATCATTAGATGCCTCCCTCCCTTGTAGGCAAATATACTCACCTGTGTATAAATCTTTATTGTGAAATATCTTGAAAACTTTAACCAACCAGCACCTTTATCTCCTGTTTTTTTATTCATCTAATCAAAATATGTAAAATTAACACATTTCACTTCCGAGGTAGATAATTTCCCCAAATTAGTAGACCAGTATTCTCAGATAATAGTTAAATTGGTGAGCAGGCCTGGGATATGATTTTGGAAAAAAATCATAAATCTTGTCTACATTTGATTACAACCAAAAGGTTAAGAAGCCAGAAACCATTATAAAATGGAATTAAGATTCATATGTTTAATTGAAAGAAAAAAAATACTGACATTGCATTTTATTAAGAATTGGTATTTTTTTAGCACATGCTCTAATTCTTGGTGTATTTTTTTTCAGTTTCCTCCAGCATATGCAGGCATATCTGAAGTAAACCAGCCAGCAGAACTTATGCCCCAGTTTTCTACAATCGAATATATAGTCCAGGTAGTCCTTTTTGTTATCTCTCAAATTCTGTAGCTATATTCAACATTTCTGCAACAGGTTATAAGAATAAAGTGTTTTTACCATGGTTTACAGTAAGAGAAATTAGAGTCTTTTACTGTACGTACAATTTTGTGATATGTATTTCTTTTTTCCCTAATCAAGCGTGGGCCTCAGACACCCCTGGTCTTTCTTTATGTGGTAGACACATGTTTGGAAGAGGAGGACTTACAAGCTTTGAAAGAATCCTTGCAAATGTCTTTAAGTCTGCTCCCTCCTGATGCTCTTGTGGGATTGATTACCTTCGGTCGAATGGTTCAAGTTCATGAATTGAGCTGTGAAGGGATCTCCAAAAGTTACGTTTTTAGAGGAACTAAAGATCTGTCAGCGAAACAAATACAGGTATATTTTGTCTTCTGTGAAAAGTTGAAAGGATTTCCTAGTTCTTATTTCATGTTTTTATAAGTTTTTCTGATTTTATAATGGATGTTTTCCATTGTCAGGATATGTTGGGTCTTTCAAGGCCTGCCATCCCTACTCAGCAAGGGAGACCACCTCAATCCCAAGAATCACCTCACCTTTCTAGCAGGTATGAGGCTTTGCAGAACAAAGAATATTTCAAATGATGCAAATGCATTAATCTTTTTCTTAAATCCCAAAAGGAACATCTTTTAAAAAGCAGGCCTATTGTTGCTATTTGATTTAAGATCAAAGGCCATTCCATCTATGTAAGAGAAAATATAAAGCTGATAATAGGTGAATCAGAGGTTTGATAGATACATTTTGAATCTATGATTAAAATATTACACATTTCCAAATAAAGGAGTACCCAGTGCATAATTCACAATATTATGTCTTTCTGTCTCTCCTTTCTTCTCTCCTGATTTAAAAAAAAACCTAGATTTTTACAGCCTATTCACAAAATTGATATGAACATGACAGATCTTCTTGGAGAACTACAAAGAGATCCTTGGCCAGTTACTCAAGGAAAGAGACCCTTGCGATCCACTGGAGTAGCTTTGTCAGTTGCTGTTGGACTACTTGAGGTATGTTTGTTTGTTTGTTTTTATTTTTTACAATCTTAAATACCTTTAGAAGTAATCTAAACTCTACTAGTGTTCTCTGGTACTTGGAAGCCATGTATTTTCCAATATACATGTTTTTGAATGTGGCACAACTGAGTTTGAAGATTCCCCCTTTCCCTGGAAATTCCAACCAGCTAATTCTGTGAGGAGTACTTAATTCCACTTATTTCCACCTCAGCCCAGCAATTTGTTTATTTCCTTCAAGAGTTTTGCTCTAGTTTTAACAGAACAGTGCCTTTTCCCAGCTATGAAAAGGAAGGGTTGAGATCCTTCTGTACTTTTTGGAGTCTTACCTATGTGTGAATGGATATTCAGAAGTGGACACTGACTGGCAATGTAAGCTATCTTGGGTAGTTACCACATAACAGATAAATTTATATTAAATATCATCCAATATCTTGTAAACTTTGTTAAAAAATTCAACTCTGCTAAATGTTGAAAAATGTTGATGATTGAACATAAGCAGTTTTCTTCTTAAAGTCATGCTTATATGTAGACATAGGTCATAGGATTTACATGTTTATGCCATCAACACATTTCAAGAAAACTGAAAAAAACTATGAGAAAGACAAATCCTTGGAGGTTTTTTAAAAATCTTTTCATATATCATATGCTGACTAGGGAGACTAGGCATAAAGTTTGATTTTGTTTCTCTATGGAATCCAAGCAATCAAAAAATATGGGCACAATTAGAAAGTTCAGTATCACGATAATGGGCTTTTTCCTTTACTAATCATAGTTCTATAGTATTTATAATTTTTTGATGTCTAGAAGGCAGAATTGGGATGGAAATATGATTCTGATGAATTCACATGTATTCAGATGAAAAAAATGCACTCTGGGATAAAACCAGTTTGAAAATAACAGATATATGTTATGCAGGGAATTTATGGGCTAATAGGGGTATTAATACTTTGGATCAGCTTGTTACAAATCAAATTTTTAAACCATTTGAAATACTGAAAAAAGATGGTTCAAATTTACTAATCTTTTTTAAAAGTATATTTTCCCTTTGGGTTATATATTTTTTTCTTTTTTGCATCATTTCTGTCTATCTCTATAGTATAATAATTATAATTATAAATATATGTGCCACCTGACTGAAGCAACTCTCAAAAGTTTACAAATTGCTTAAAACATTAAAAAGTCACTTTACAATCCTATAATCCCTTAACTCATAGTAGAGTCAGGGTGATTGCACAGACCTGAATATTTAGTGGCCGGATGTCATTCCTGACACCATGCAAAATTTGCTGCAGATATTTTTTATTTGTGCCCTAAGAGAGAAATATCTGCTGTGACCTAGAATTGAACTCGTACATTTCTGAGTGGGAAGCAAGCATCTTCATCACTAGCCACCATGCTGCTCTCAATTGCTTAAAACATTAAAGACAAGAAAAACAACACAAATGAAGAATAAAGATGGCAAGAATGAAAAAATGAGATGGGAACAAAAGAAAACAACCCACATAATCTAATGGGGACTACTGTCACCCTTGTCAAAAAGCCTGGATGAAGAGCAAGGTCTTCAGAGTCCTTTAAAACACTAGTAGGGTGAGAGCTATTCGAATCTTGGGGGAACATTCCAGCCACTGCAACAGACGAGGCTGCACTTCTGGGGTCCTGATAGATGATTGGCAGGCAGATACTGTGGGATATCAGTCTTTAAAAGAATGCAACTTATGATTGACCTAATTTACAAACGAGACAGATGTAGTCAACTATATTCTTAACAACTAATTTAGTAATTTATGTAATTTGTTGTTTTTTATTCTGTTCCCCCCTCCCCCACTTCCAAGGGATCATTTCCAAATACTGGGGCTAGAATAATGTTGTTTACTGGAGGGCCACCAACTCAAGGGCCAGGCATGGTGGTAGGAGATGAGCTGAAAACTCCGATTCGTTCGTGGCATGATATAGATAAAGACAATGCACGATTCATGAAGAAAGCTATGAAAGTAAGTATCTAGTTTGACTTCTATAGATAAACATTATCTTTCATATTTTCTGCTGGACGTACCTTTCATTGCCAAATAATTTCAGAAACTTTGCATTCTTGATTGCTTTTTCACTTTAGCTTTAGCTGCCTTGTTTGTTCGATATTTCTACAATTACAGATCTTTATATTCTGTGTGCCGTTATTTAATCCAGTTTATCTTTCATATTAATTTCTTGTTGACTCTCTTTCTTTTGGATCTTTGCCTACATTTGTCCAACATTGTTTATTAAGAACCCATTCCTTTATTTACTTGATCTCTTGAACCCCTTTCATGCTACTATTTCCTGATTTAAGTTTTTGGAACATAACACTGTTCTCACTGTCACTGTTCAGACACTCTAAGTAATACTGCATTTCTTGTATTTAAATTAGCCTTTGTGGTTTCTCAGTTGTATCAGCTCTCTTCTTCAAGACATTTTTGTTATAGGAAAAATGGTTTGGAAAGCTCTCAGTAGCCAATTATTGTTAATGTTTATTGAATAATTGTACCTCCCTTCCACAGAGTGCATAGCTTTGTATATAGAACATGCTGACCCTTACCAGTTTAGACCTAAAGTCAGCAACACTATTGTATTACTTGTCTCTAGATCATGCTAAACAATTATGAATAATCTTTTCTCATAACTGTCATTTAAAATAAAACTGTTATATTTCCACAGCATTATGAGGCATTGTCTAATCGTGCTGCTGCTAATGGACACTGCATTGATATTTATGCATGTGCTCTTGATCAGACTGGTCTTCTGGAGATAAAGTGTTGTACAAATATAACTGGGTATGTTCTTAATCCTGAGTAAAAAATGTTATTTGTTACAAAGAAGAGATACATTTCTTGATGAGCACAAATATTCTGCTTTTTCTTTCACCCTGAGGAGAAAGTGTTTAGTAAAAGTCATGTGAAGAAGTGGGGATTTGAAATCACTGCATTTGTCTTTTAGATAATTTAGAAGCCATATGCATATATGGATAGTCATAATGGTAATTGGGCCTTGAATTTCTGTCACTATATGATGTCTCATGTCTACATTGCTTAGCAACAGTAATCCTGGCATTCCTCACTGCCATTGTTAAGGACTAAATTCCACTGGTTGTTAATCAATGACCCATCCCAATCAAGCCATTCTGGACTTGGTCCTTCCTGGCCCCAATCCTCAGTTGTTCTACAGTAAGGGATGCCTCCCCTTCAACTTCTCCCAATTACCTATTCCCCTTCTACATCTGGCCTTTTGGCCATCCTGCACCTGCCTTGTGGGGTAGAATGCAGCTTTAGTGTGGCTCTGTGGCTGCTTACCATGCTGTGGCTCAGGGCTTCTTGGCACACTAGGATTCTGGGGCTGCAAAAAGCCCCTGAGGCACAGTGCAGCATGAAGCTGCAGCCATTCCTTGAAGCTTCAGCTGGCCCAGCCCAGCAGTACAGTGCAGTACTCAAGTTGCCCCAGCCCAGCCCAGCCTCCCTGCATTCTGAGGCCTCTGACAGCCTGAATTCTGCCACCCCAGCTGACCTTCGCTATCTACTTGCTCCTGCTGCTGACAAGGCATGTCTACAAGGCAGCTGCTGATCAAGTAAGGCATCTTTTCGAAACCTTGCAAGGAAATTGCTATGTGTGACCTTAGGAAGTGTTATGCGGTCAACAGCTGCATTTATTTAGATGATTTGTATGACCACCCAGTCGCTCTCAGTGACTCTGCTAAGAACTAGGCCAGGCATGCATGATCAGCAGAGGGAGCAAGATGGCTTAAGGCAGCAGGGGCCACAGAGTGCAGGGGGCCAAAGGGCATAGATATGGAGGGAGATAGCCAGGTGGAGGGAGTTGAAGTACAAGTGGCTGCCAAGTGACCGAATTTTGATTACTGTGGAAGCCCTGCAACAGCCATAAATTCAGGGACCATTCACAAGTCACTTTGTTCAGTGTCACTGTAACTTCCCATTGTTGCTGAACAAATGGTTATAAGTCAAGTACCTGAAATGTCAGTTTCAGTTTATCATGCAAGAGCATCATATTGTAAGATAACTGATGCAATTTATTCATGCTTACTTGTGAATAAATCCTATTCAATTCAACATGATTTGCTCCAAACATGCCTCTTGGAAATTGAATTTGTAAAAAAGCTTATGTGGACAGACTTGAGTTTCACTGGAAACCAAAAAAGAATTAAAAACTTACTTTCCTAAGAAACTTCTATATTAGATTTGAACTCCCATTACAAGGCATTATTCATTGTTTTCTTTTCTTTAATGTTTCTAGGAAAATGAAAGGGATGGGATGAAATGGTTATAAAAAAGTAAAAGTGCTCCTCATTTTTGACGTTGGTTTGTCTGTTCTTAATTAGTAGGAGAGAAGATGAAACTATTCTAGAATCATTGCCACACATGGTGTTTCTTTCCTGCTCTAATTCAGTGATCAAGACAGACATATTTCAGTTAATAATGCTGCATTACAGATCATCTAATGACAATTCTTTCAGCAACTGTTGAAACTTGTGATGGCACTAAATGACAATCCGCCCTCAAAGTTATGGTTGCTGCAGTGTACCTGCAGGCACACAATTATAATTCAAGTCCTCAACAATCTGCTTGAGTTTACCATGATTGCAATTTGCGACCTTCCTGTCAGTGTTATCAAATAGATCAGACAAGAATCAATGCCAGATAAACTAATTCTAGTCTATTGTAAACCTACATTTACAGAATCTTGCAAAAGGGAAATAATTTTCCTGCCTTTACAGCCTTAGGGATGGTCCCTCCTCAGTCTTTTCCTCCACTCACTGTGGAGCTGTGGACTGTGCTTCCTAGGCAGCATTTATTTTCCTGGTCTCCCAAAGTCATGTTCATATACTGTTACATTTCCCTGCTGAGTTATTGATGGTTGAACAAGTTATAATTGGTTTGGTTCCCACAAAATTCTAGACATGCTTTACAAACTGATGTCTAGATTCGCCTAATGCAATAAGAAAAACCATGGAAACAATGTTATGGTCTTATGTCACTTCATGAACCCAGTTATTCTCAATATTTCACTGACTTTTTTCCTCAGGGGTTATATGGTGATGGGAGATTCGTTTAATACTTCTCTCTTCAAGCAAAGTTTCCAGAGATTGTTTAGCAAAAATCTCAGTGGAGAATTCCGAATGGCTTTTGGAGCAACTCTAGAAGTGAAAGTAAGTATCACAGGTACTGCCTCTAATTGAATATTTTCCTAGCCAAAAGAATTGGTAATTTACATTGCTTATTGTAGTTTTGATTTCAGAGAGATTTTCCATTCTTTACTTACTCTCTCATGATGGAAAAGGATAGTTTCTGTGCAGCAATAGGAAGCTAACAACATTGTTGAACATCTCAATATTTTATAATATCTACGTTATTTAAAACTCACAATTCTAAATGAAGAGTCTTGGAAGGAAAGGTTTGTCATGCTGAGGTATCAGCAAGAGATCAGTTAAGCAGTTATTATTGCTTGGAGTTTAATTGGAACTTTTTTATTATAGACTTGTAGAGAACTGAAGATATCTGGAGCTATTGGACCATGTGTATCCTTAAATGCCAAAGGGCCAAGTGTTTCTGAAAATGTAAGTGTTCTTTGGTGATAGGTAAGAAGCACAGGTAGTTCTCAACTTATAATAGGTATAGGGTGTCAAACTTGATTTCATTGAGGACCGCATCAGGGTTGTGTTTGACCTTGGGGGCACGGAGTATTGCCAGAGTGGGCATGGTCAGCTTGATGTCACTCGTGTTGGTGCCTGTGGTGGTCCCAGTGCTCTGCCAGCGAAAATGGCCTCTTGAACTCCATTTCCAGCTGCAGTGGCTTCCTGCAACCCTCTGCCAGCAAAAACAGAGCTTGTTTTCACTGGCAGAGGCACTGCAGGCCAGTCCTTCACTGTTTCCAGGACAACCCTGCAGGCCAGATCTAAGCACCCCATGGGCTGGATCTAGCCTGCAGGCCTTGAGTTTGACACCCCTGTAATAGGTGATTAATGGTCATTTGAAGTTATGATGGACCTCCCCAGAAGATGCTTATAACCTGGTTGTGAAGTTATGGCCATTGCAGTGCCCTTACATTCATTTACCCTTATGACCATTTGCAGGAATGTTGCAACTCCTCCCCCCACCCCCCCTTGTGCCTACAAGCATTTCCCTCCACCAGTGGCTCCCTGTTGGCCTTAAGACTGATTCCCACCCCACCAAATCCCACACACTCCTCCTCACTCAGATGTGAGCTCCAAAGCTTTCCATAGTGCTGGAATGGGTTGCTCAGTTACATAGTTCAATTCTGCAATCACCCAGCATGAGCAAGGGACAAACCACTCCATTTTTCTGCCTTCATGTGGTGTGCAGTGCTGCAGAAGTGACTGCCATATTGCATTCACCTGCTTATGGGTGGGATAAAACGGTGGCCACAAGCCAAACCAGTCCATTTTGCTGTCTTAATGAAGTTGCACAGCACTTCAGAAAACCTCTGAAAGCTTCTGTACAAACTGCATTAACGTAGTAAATCAGAGTGGTTTGTCCCATGATTCTGGAAACAGTGACGATACCAGAATGCAGTCCAATAGCTGGAAACATGGCGTATAATAGGTCATCTAGTGCTGCTTCACTAACATGTTCAGCACAGCCTTTCAGAAATCTCCGGGCCCTGAAAGGCTGTTTAGGTTTTGGAAAGGCTATGTAGACTCTGTTAATGAAGCAGAACGGGTCGCTTTGTCCCTTGGTCACATGGTACAATTCCAAAAACTGGCTGCCATATTTCTAGCTACCAAATTGCATTCTGGTGATTATAAATATCACCCCCGCTCTTCAAAAGGTAAGTGAGGAGGAGAATATTTTGCTTGTTGGGGTGGGAATGAGGCTTAAAGACATGGTGGAACAGTGGAAGTGGGAAAAGGCCTATGGGGATGCAAGGGGCAGAAACGGAGTGAGGAGTACCTCGGGGAATGGGGAGGCCTTGAGAGGGCTGGGGCAAGTGGGTATGGGCCTGCGCTTGGCTTCCAAGGGCCTCCCCCTACCCCTGAATCACCTTGTGCTTCACTTAACAACCTGAATATTCATTTAACTATTGCACTTGGGAGATCAGGGATGGGAAGATCATTTAAGTGAGGCACTTCACTTAATGGTCATCGGGACATGCGACCATAATGGGCCGGCTCCATTATAGTGGTATCTTGAGGACTATCTGTACACAAATTTGATATGCCTGTATTAGTTACCAAAACAGAGGTAGATAATTAACAATGGTTAATTAACAGAAGATGCATTCATAATTATTGAATTGAAATTTAGTGCTATTTTATTAAAATAGAACAAAACAACTACCCTAACCCTAATCTACCTAAGCATCTCTAAAATCGTGATGCCCCCACCCCCCATGACATATAATTCTTACTACTCAAAAAGTGAACAACTACTCACGTGGAGGAAGCCTAAAAGGCCATTAAGTTGGTTAACGGTTTAAACAAGGTTCCAAAGAACATGTCTTGAAAGAAAAATAAAAGAACAAAAGACAGTAGAAGTACTGAGGAACTTAAAAAATAATAGGATGAGGGGATATGAAAAGAACAGCAAATAAAGTTTCAAAACACATAATAGAGAACTGAAATGCATAAATATAAATTTTTTTAATGAAAACTTTTTCTGTAATACTTTGATCATAGTAATTACTATACATATTAAAATAAAGGTACCTAACCCATTCAAAATAGAATTTGAGCTCACCTCAATATCATATTTACAACGCAATCCTATGCATGTCTACTCAGAAGTAAGTACCTTTGTCTTCAATGGTGTTTACTCCTGGGAAAATGTTGTAGGATTGCAGCTTTAGTCTACTTAAGTTAGTGAGATCATTGTGCTTGATGCCTGCTACAGACAGATTTTATATTAGGCTCCAATTTAGTCAGCTTCATTCTCAAGTCTTCTTGTTCAGTGATATCCAGTTGATTTCTTCAGTAGCAAATCATTTACAGCACTAAAGTCACATTCAGCTAAATATGAAGATGGGAATGGTAACAGCAGTTTTCTTGCAAAGTAGGTTGAATTTGGGTATTTAGTTTCTGTCTCATCACAAAGCCATGCCATCCTTCCTTTTATATTGAATAAAGTTTTAAGTGACTCATCATTTTGCATTTCCAAGAGTTCTTCTTGGTACTTAATTGAAGCATCAGATAGATCCACCAGCACTGGCTGCACTACCTATGTTGGAAAATCAATTTGTTTTAAATAAAAAAGGGTTTGTGACTAAAAGAAATAAATGTGAGAAAAACTTATGAAATGATCAAATTATTAAAAGAAAGAACTATTAAAAGAAGATGACGCAGAAAGAGGCAAATGTAAAGAACATTCTTAGCTTAATTTATGAACAATAAGATTGTCATGAACGAAAGGGGGGTTGTAACCTATGACCACCCTGCTCGCCCACTTGGTTTGAACCTGCAGCTTAGTGGGGAAATGCTTTGGTAGTTCAGTAGGTGGAGGTGAATCACACAGGCCTGGCAAGGCCTATACATGCGTGGCCCAGCCCCAGACTGCTCTGAGATGAAAAGTCTTGTAAAACATAGCCTGGGAAAATACAGACTAAAAATAACTGTAAATCTAACAATTTTTACTATTGATTTAGAATACATGACAATTCGTTATGCTGCTGACAAATGACTGCTTTTTGGAAAAAGATTAAGCTAAAAGTAGGCAAAGAGCAAAAGAAATCATGATTAGAAGGAATACCGTATTTTTCACACTATAAGACTATAAGATGCACATTAGCTTTAGAGGAGGAAAACAAGAAAAAAAATCTACCTCTGCCTCCCAGCATCCATCCAGTATTCATCTGGCTAGCATCCTTGTAGCAAACAGCCTGGTCAGCTTCAGCATGTTATAGGTCAGCACCCAGTAGGTGGCTCGTCAGCGCTCTGCTCCATTGTGCCCACCAACAGTCAACTGAGCTGAGCTGCTGCCACCGCCAGGGAACACTGGAATCTTCACTGCCGAGCAGCTGATCAGTAGTTGGATCGGCAACCCTCACCCCCGCTGCAATATTCACTCTATAAGACTCATAAACATTTCCACCCACTTTTTTTTGGGGGGGGGGGAGTGTGTCTTGTACTGCGAAAAATACGGTAATATTTGGTTCTTATGATGTACTTATGGGGCCGGCAGAAATACAAGTTTTTGTGTGGATAGTGCAGAAAAAAAGTAGTGGAAAAATATTTTCTGGAAAATAGATAGATTTGGCTACAGCGAGAGAAGATGGTAGAATTGTTATTTTTGGTGACAAAGAATAATACTTAATTGTAGCAAATTCTTTGCCTTTGGCAGAAATCTTGTTTAGGAATAAGCTCTCTTAAGTATAAACATACACATACAAAAGAGGCCACTGTTTTAGGTTTTTCACATTTACTTATTAGCATAAACAGATCTTTCTTATTTGTAGTTTAATGTATAGGTGGTCCTCGACTTATGGCCACAATTGAGCCCAAAATTTCTATTGGTAAGGAAGACAGTTATTAAGTGAGTTTTATCTCATTTTACAACCTTTCCACAGTTAAATGAATCACTGCAGTTGTTAGGTTAGTAACATGGTTATTAAGTGAATCTGGCTTCCCCATTGATTTTGCTGGTCAGAAGATCACAAAATGTGATCACATGACCCTGGGACACTGTAACCGTCATATATATGAGTCAGTTGCCAAGCCAAGCGTCTGAATTTTCAGCATGTAACCATGGAGATGCTTCAATAATCATGTGCGAAAAATGGTCATTTTAGGTGTGATGCCTAAACGAACTGTTGTAAGTTGAAGACTACCTGTACATAGTTTTCTTTTTACAGGTTTACATTTATTAAACACTTATATCTTGTGCTTTTTTTGTTTATTTATTTACACTGCCCTTTTCCATTTTAAATGTAAATTTTAATATATTACAAAATAAAGAATACAGTTTTCAACTCCAGATTCCTTCTATGGGGATTGGTGATTGACTCACATTACATATTTCTAATTAACTTTAAGATATTTAGAGAATTGTACCTCTGAATATGCAGTTTATACTGTATATGGGAATTATGGAGGTTTTTTTTGTTGGAACACAAATATGTATTAGCATCAATGAACTGGAAGAGAACAGACTGATTACTATTCCCTCTGTAGCTGCCAGATAATTATATATTTCACGGTATCTTTCAATGCATACATAAGTTCTTTATCAAGGATATAGGTTGGTAATTTGTGCTGTAAAGTCTAAATAATATGTAGAAGCTGTAGCAGTGATGGCTAACCTTTTTCCCATTGCGTTCCAAAAGCGGGGGGAGGGAGAACGTAGGGGGGTTGTGCGTGGGTGTGCCCACACCCATAATTCTATGTGTGTGACCTGCACACATGGTTGCATGACCTGCACCCTCCCCCTGCTTTTGGGGCACAATGGACCCATTTTTCGCCCTCCCCAGATTCCAGAGGCTTTCTAGGAGCCTGCCTCCCCCCAAAAAGGCCTCCCCCCGCCCCGAGACTCTCAGGAGGCTTCCCTGAAGCCTCCGGAGGGCAAAAAATGGCCCTATGGGCAACCCGGAAGTCAGTTCTCGAACTTCTGGGTTGCCCAGAGGGTCATTTTTCTACCTTTGGAGGGCGAAAAACTGCCCAATGTGCAAACTGGAAGTTCAGGGAAGCCTCCGGAGGGTGAAAAATGGTCGAAAATGAAGGCCAAAGTCAGCTGGCCAGCGTGCGCATGCGGGCTGGAGTTGACAGGACAACGCCTCACGTGGCCTAAAAAATAGCTCCGCGTGCCAGCTGTGGCACACATTCCATAGGTTCTCTATCACAGAGCTATAGTGTGTGTGTGTGTGTGTGTGCATGTATGTATCTATGTCTGTCTGTCTATACCTACCTACCTACCTACCTACCTATAACATGAAATAACAAACGACTTAAGATTTTAGAATAAAACCTGAATTTTTAAATGTCTCACAGGAACTCGGAATAGGTGGCACATATCAGTGGAAAATTTGTGGACTTGACCCCACCATGACTCTTGCCATTTATTTTGAAGTAGTAAATCAGGTGAGCCTAGATTTTTTAAAAATCTTTGTGATGTTGTATATAGTGCAGAATCCATTGATGAGGAGACTGAGTAGACAGCATGTTCAGAAAAATGCTGTTATTCCCTCAGCCTTATTGTTGAAATTTTGATGCCATTATGGATCAGTAGATGTTTAGATAAGTCAGAAAAATCTTTTGTGTGAAATATGTAAAATATTTTTAAAAGAATCTGGGTATGGACCAAGAGGTATTACTGAGCTATAATGCAAGTAGGAAATACTAGCATTGTATGTTTGAAGATCTAGGTTCCAAGCCCTGTACTTGAGATTAATTAAGATTTTATTAGAATTAAGAGCAGCTAATGCTAGGAAGAAAAAGTTGCAGTAAGATCAATTTGTCATCTTAAAGAAGACTCAAACCTATCTAAAAAGTTTGCTCACATTCTTGTTCTCTCCCCCCTCCCCTCAACTCTAAGACAGAATCATTTAAAATTCTGGATGGTCTTTTCAGGAACCCAGACCTTATTCAATGAGAGCTCTAGACCCATTTACTAAGAGTAAAAAGAAAGCTGCTTTATGTTATTTGAACCTTATTTGAAGGCAGAAATTGTTTATTGCACTTCCAGTCTAATTACACTTGGAACTATATCTTAGTATTCTCTGTGCCTCAAAGAAGCCAGTGTGTTAGTTGTAAATGGATATATTATACTGCTCGTACTTCATTTCTTTCCTATATGATGATTCAACCTGTCTTTAAAATGTAAGGTGCAACTTAGACAACTTTTATCTCATTAACTTTCAGCACAACACTCCAATACCTCAGGGTGGAAGAGGAGCCATCCAGTTTGTTACACATTATCAGCACTCCAGTACCCAGAGGCGCATTCGTGTGACTACTGTTGCTAGAAAGTGAGAATAATTTGTGATTATTAGGTTTGGTTCTGTTGGCTGCATTTCTTTGTTGCGTAAATTGTATTGCTTGAGCCGCATTAATAGCATACTCAGTATTATGACTGGGGGGATGAGCTCCTGATTGTCCCACAGATGAATAGATCTCACCTGGTTTCTCTGTTGTCAAGCTGGCCGTTCCAGCCAATTTTGTGGTAGCCTTCTATAGCCTTCCTTGTAAATATTTAAAAAATGAAGGAAGAAAAATACAGCAATCCTATGGGGAATCAGAACCCTTACATTTGAAGAGAAGGTCAGCTGTGTTTCTCCCACCACCTCCATGATCTTGATTAATCTGCCCTTCATGGGAAATGAAAGAAATATGCCTATCAAGTGATGGTTGCTGATAGTCAGCTAACCAGAGATTTGGATGTGGGTAATATGCTCAGGCATGGTTTAAGATAAACTAATCAAAACCAAGCTGTGATTGGAACTTGTAATTAAGGGACACTGCCATGGTGTATTATATAACCCTGAAATAAAATAGCTTATGAAACTGAGATGGACCATCAGTTCATTTTTGTGGCTGAGATAAAAATGATTTAAAACAAACATTGGTAGAATTGCAATGTTAACTGCAAATTATTGGTAGAATGTTCTTTACGGCTTTTAATAATCTTAAATTTTACTAATTCTTGCCATAAATTAGTTGGGCAGATGCACAGAGTCAGTTGCAGCACATTGAAGCTGCATTTGACCAAGAAGCAGCTGCTGTCCTGATGGCTCGATTGGGTGTCTACAGAGCTGAATCAGAGGAAGGGCCTGATGTCTTGCGATGGCTGGATAGGCAACTAATTAGACTTGTGAGTATCATCAACTGTAAGCTTATGAGTGTTAGAATCAAAAAGATGATTACTTGATCAGACATACTCCCCTCACCACCCTGCATTCCAAAAGTTTTGGTACTTGTCTTGAAAATTCCAAGGGTAAATGCTGATTAGTATTTTTTTTAATTTGCTTCTCAGAAAATAATTGGTTCAATACATATAGATTTGTTTTGTGACATTTAGCTAGTTCTGAAAGGAATAAGCTTATGTGGCCACATTGTACTACTGAGATGGCCTAGACCAGCGAATGCTGGCTGGGGAATTCTGGGAGTTGAAGTCCGGACATCTTCAAGTTGCCAAGGTTGAGAAACACTGGTCTAGACAACCCATGCCCCATTAGGTCATTGTTTCCGATATATTTTCTTATCTAAACAGGGAAACAGAATGACCAAAGGCAGGAGAGGGGAGCATTAGGAGGAGGAGCAACTTCCTACTTCCTGCTGACTTCCCCTTTGAGTATTCTTATGGGAATTTGGGAGGGAGCCTTCAGAATCTTTCCTTCTTAGCAGGCAAGCAAATGACTGCTGCTGGATGAGGGGGGTGGGCACGGGATGCAAGACGAGCTGGGAAGCTCACAACTTTCTCAAATTTCATTACCTTGGAAGACATGGGTCTCTGATTTTGGACATGTTTCGTAAGTTAGATCATTAGTAGCTCCGACCCTTTGGAACGATCTCCCCGTGGAGATTCGTACCCTCACCACCCTCCAGACCTTCCGCACAGCCCTCAAGATCTGGCTATCCCGTCAGGCCTGGGGTTAAAGATTATAATCCGTCCCCTCCCAAATGATGAATGAATGTTGCTTCTATTTTTAATTACGTACTGTTTTTATATGTCATTGTGTGTACTCCCTTCCCTATACGTTGTAAGCCGCCCTGAGTCCCCTCAGGGAAAAGGGCGGCCTATAAATAAATTTATCTACATCTACATCTACATCTACATTTGTGGTACCTTGGTTGAAAACTGTTGCCCTATTATGTACTGTTTTGTCCAATTAAAGGTCATGAAAGTTTAATAGTATATGGATATTCAACTTGACTATCAGTGGCTAATACTAAAAATTAAGAACTTGGTGAAAAAGATTTTGGCTGTTCTTCTAAAAGCACAGGGAATGGGAGCCAAATGCTGCTCTTAAAAAAAGGACCTTTGTTAGCCTAGAAATGATCCTGTAGGGGCCCTTTTTCCTTTTGCCTAAGAAAGATAACTCTGAAAACAAGGTCATCTTCAGAATGGCTTCTCATGTAAATCTTGGTGTCCAGTTTGGTCTAGTGCATGGTCATCACAGGCCGGGTCGAAATTAGATGGCAAGGAATAATGGAATTAAATGCTGTAACAGGCTACTAACCATGCCCTCACTACAGTGGTCTCTCCCAGCAGTTCATGGAGTTGTTCAGCTACACAGGGGCAAGATGATGCAAAATTATAAATCAGTGTATTGTTAAATCCTGAGCCTGTTTTAAGCCAAAATATGATCAAAGCTGGCCACTAAATTTAATCCCAATTAATTACATATAAATTTACCAGATACCATCAAATGCTCGACAAAGTCTACATTAGGCTTTTTCAGTCTATCATGTTGTTTATGATATTGTACATTTGATGTCCTTAAAAGCAATTTTCTAATTTCAATTGCCTTATCATTTTGAAACAATATCCTTTTATAAAATTTAATTTTAGTTATTAGGCATATTAGAAACAAAAGAGCTAAAGTGACTAATTTTATTTCTTTGATATTATGAACAATATTTTTGAAAGAAAATATTGCAGGTGACGTCTTTATTTTCCTTCCTTGTTCCTTTGTAAGATTTATATTGTCTTCAAAGGATTATTGACATCTGCATATTTCTCCAACAGTGTCAGAAGTTTGGACAATACAGCAAAGATGATCCAAATTCATTTAGGTTGTCTGATTCATTCTCCTTGTACCCCCAGGTAAGATCTGTCTCAAAAATAAACAAAATAAAATAATTTAATAAAAGAAAAGTAGCAGTTTGCCTCTGAGTCATTTCTATGGTTATCAGAAGACTGTATTAAATAGTAAAGTGTTTTATGTTTGGTACATGCCTTTTTTGTATTTGTATCTCAAAATAATTCAGACATACAAAAAGACAGGAAATGATTAAAGTAGATATTTTAATTATACTCAATTTGACTTCTGCTTTTTTTCTGCTCCATTTAGTTCATGTTCCATTTGCGACGATCTCCATTCCTTCAAGTATTCAATAACAGTCCAGATGAATCTTCCTATTACCGTCATCACTTTGCCAGGCAGGATTTGACCCAGTCTCTTATTATGATTCAGCCTATACTTTATTCTTACTCATTCTATGGACCACCTGAGGTGATTCTCCTTCTGATGAAAGTTAATTGAAAATAGTAATAAAAAAACTTAATAAAATTGATGTATGTTCAAAATGCAGCATTTTTAAATATAAACAAATGAAGAAATCTTTCAAATTTACAGTCTTTAAAGAAGAAAATAGAAATGTTAGGCATGCATCTTTTCAAATTCTGCAATCAAAAATGAAATGTGGTTAAAATTTACCTTCTTATTTGTAAAATTATGCTTTCCCTTTTTGTGTCTTGTAGCCTGTACTATTGGATAGCAGCAGCATTCTTGCTGATAGGATTCTGCTGATGGATACTTTTTTCCAGATTGTTATCTATCTTGGTGAGGTAAATAAGGAATTAATTCTTTGTTATGATGAATTCTATGAATGACAAGGAAATTATTTGTTTGGTTTTTAGACCAGCATTTGCTGAAGTCCTTAGGTGATGCACAAAACAGAAAATATATCAGAAATTAACTATATATAAAATTATAAAATCTTGTGCTAAAATAGAATTAAATAATTTTTTTTGGCAAAAATTAAAATTTGTAAAATAAACAATTAAATATTGTAGATTTATTGTCAGAGTTCCTTAAAAATCAGTGCACTAGTGAGTTTCTTCCATTGAAGCTTTGCAATTATGGCAGAAACTCATTCCCATGTCAGCCAGCCTCTTAACCACCATTAAAATGAGCCTTTCCAGGTGACAATAATCAGGATCAGGGAGAGCAATCTTGCAGAGCAAGGCAGTCACTCAGATATCTCAGGTCCACTGCATTTTTTAAAACCTCTCATCTGAACTGAGAGTATACAAGCCATATACTTGCTAAAAGAACAATACAAACTATGATCTTAAGGCGATGAATCTGCTGTCATATTCACACTGACAAAGTCTTATAGCTTTATATGTATGTATAAATCACTAATTGGCAATTTATCCCTTGATCTAAATTAATGTTTCCATTTACATTGTCCTTATGGCATCAAAAGAAGAGACTAGTGTCGTAAATATCAAGGCTCAGTCAATCATGAGTGTGCATTTTAGAAAGAGAAGGATACCTGGTCTGGTCTGCAAAAATATAGAAACCACTAAAGAGCAGAAATGTGATATATACCATTTCCTCTTGTACTCAAACAAATATTAATTGAATATTTGTAGCTCTTTTAATGGATATTAATTTAATATTCATTGAAGAGCTCCTAACAGGCACATTATGGGTGTCCCCATAGATCTGAAGCACCAAGATTTACATGGAATGATTTGCATATTCCTAACTAATAACTTTTTTTTTCCTGTGGCTAAACCCATCATTTTTACCATGATTTGGCTAAAACATGTCATAGTGAAACGATTCATAATGATTAAATTAAAGTATTGTTTATTAACAGTAATTGTATTTCCATATCATGTTAATTCAAAACTACTCCAACTACTATGGCTTCGTATGATGTGAAGTCCTGTGATCTTATCTCTCACTAGAGATGTGCAAATTTAGTCAATTCCAAGGAGTTCCTTTTTCTGTCAGAACCAAGTATTTCCTAGGATTCTTCAGTACTCTTTGAAAATAAATACTCTGAATCAGAAGTGACCTGATGTGATACTGTGTGAGAGTTCTAGCCCCAAAATAAGTTTCTTTTGTCCAGAATGACATACTGAATTGGGTTTTTTTTTTCAAAGGATTTATTTCTGAAATGGCAAGTTCTTAAAGGAAGCAGAACAGAGTGAAAGATTTTCCCGCATCTGGGTGGTTAAAGTGATTTAATTAGCCTTGCTGTGGAGATGAGAGGACTGTATCAAATACTGTTGGCAACCACAAGTGGATTGGAATCAACAAACTCCTTTTCCTTCCAAAGGCCTTTCTTTGCATTTTGTGCATAAGACAAAGAACAATTGGCTTAGAACCAAACTAGCACAAAGTGTTAGTGATTAAATGAAAGTGACAATTACTGTAATTTTTGGAGTATAAGAAACACCTTTTCCCTTCAAAAAAGAGGCTGAAAATCTGGGTGCGTCTTATACAGCATTTTTTGCCTCTCGAAACCCAACCCTTTTTACCATAATGGACGTGCAGAGCCTTTAGGAGGCTTATAGAGTACTCCTGGGTGCTGGGGAGTGCAGAAATGAGTGAAAAATGGGGTGTTTTTTGCTCAATTTTGCTGCCCCTGCCCCCAGGAGCACTCTATAAGCCTCCTAAAGGCTATATGTGCCCTTTTTTTGAAACATAATGGGTCTGTTTTCACGAAAAACAGGCCTTTTTGGGAAGTCTGCAGAGTGCAAATTTTTTAAAAAAAATTTGCCTCTTCAAAATGTTGGTGTGTCTTATACTCCGGGGCGTCTTATATTCTGAAAAATACAGTACTTATTTTTTTAAATATTCTTAGACAAAATATTTTCACCAAACAATTGCTTGGCATTATTTATTTATTTATTTATTTATTTATTTATTTATTTATTTATTTATTTATTTATTTATTTATTTATTTATT